TCATCTTTACTAGATTGGAAATATATAACATATCTTGGTTTTTGATAATGCTCAAAGAATACAACAGCTTAAGCTTTTTTATCTAGAAATCCATCAACAATATAGTTTTTTGGTTCAGCTTAAAACACTTACATTAATTTATTTAATTTTTCCACTTCTGATTATGCTTTTACTTTGACATAGAATTCATCTAAGTTGAAATAAACATATCCTGTTTATTTTGCAACTTATTAGGCCACATAAGATTTTGCAGTTGCTGGTGGTCCATAGAAAAATATGATATTAGCTTTTTACATTTTTAATTAAATTATTTATTTATTTCATTTTAAGTCTTAATCTCTAAACTTAAATAATATTCAAATACCTTTCCAATAACTTCTCTTCATATCAATTATATCTCTCTATATATTCATTTTATTATTTGAATTTTATTCATTGCTAACACAATAAATGTAAATATTTAATATAACAATAATATTTACTTTATCTTTATTTGTGAATAAATTTCAATTAAGATCTTTAGAATTTTAAATGAAAAACAAAAAGATTGATGTAATTTAAAGTAATTAAACTTTAATTAAGGAAAGTCATTAAAATTATTAGTACTTTAATAACAAATTTAGACAGACCTTAAAATTATCTTTAAAGTTTTAATCAATACTCTATTTTAATATGAAAAAACTTTAAAGAAATGCTTATTACTTAAATTTAGACTTGAAAATTAAGTTTTTAAAGATATTACTACAATAGTATATTTACAATTGTTTAAAATATAAATGCTGAATAATAAAAAGTCATTTTATAATTTTATCAATACAATAAATGAATTTAATTAAAAATAAGAATTCAACACAACAAAAACCAAGTTTATCATTTATCAAATAACTTTTCAATAAAAAAAAACTAGAAGTAGTGGCTACTAATTTATTTTATACAAGTAAGGAAGAGTATAGTGAAGAGATAAGAAAATAACTTGTAAGTCCTAGGGAGAGATTGATAACTAGAGAAAAATAGAATAGTAGATAAAATACAATGAGATCACATTCATCATTATAAATTAATGATTTGATTGAGTGCAATCTAATTAAATAAAAAGCATAAATTAGACTAAATAGTCCGTATAAATTTAGTAGAGCCAAAGCTTTACAATTAATTAGAGATAGACAAAAATCTCCTTGTCTTATAGTAAAATAGCGAACTCTACCTGTTTATTCAATTACTGCAATATAAACATCAAGATTAAGGTATGAATGAGATTTAATTAATTTTGTTTCATAATAAAATACATTTGTTTAATTTTATGAATATAACTTACATTTTAAAATTTAAATTATTATGAAAAACAAAGGTCAATAATAACATACATTATCAGTAAAGAATGGATCTTTAATGAATCCAGAAGGATAAACAATTAATGGTTTGATTGATTTGATTAAATTAAAAAGTCAACCAAAAATAATTTACTATTTTGATTTCTTAGTATGTATAGATTAATCAGGAAATCCCTTTATTTTTTATCATGACAAAAATAGATACATAAATATACCTACAATTAGTCCAGCTTAATTGATATCATATATAGATAATAAAGGAGGTTAATTAGCAATAGCTTTATAAAATAAAACTATTCAAATAGTTTCTTGTTAAAGTATATATCTAAATTAACAATTAAGATGGAAGAAATTTGAAAACACTTAAAGGTCATGAACATAACATATTAAGTTTGCATACAAATCATACATAAAATCTATTATTATCAATTAGTTAAGATTAATGTATTTTACATTCATTAGATTCATTTGACAAAGTTCATTCATTGTTTTCTAAAGGTAGTATATTTGTAGGAGCAAGTTTTTCACCTTCTTCAACTGAATTAGCAACTATTATGGCAGATAAATCATTATAAATTTGGAATTTATCATCATTTGAAATAATCAGTAGAATCTAATTACCTGAATAATTTAATATTAAATAATGTTAAATGATCCCATCAATTGATGGATAAAGATTGATAATTAATTGTTATTCTAATAAAATTTATATCTTAGATAATTAAAATAATTTAATATCTTAAGATATAAATTAAGGATATGGTAATGGTGTATTAGTAGTTAAACCAATTAAAAAATAATAAATATTAATGCTTACTAAAAATTTCATGATTATTTAAATAGATAGTAATGGTAATCTAATAAAATGTATTGAAATATTATAAGGGAAAACACCTACTCACTTTGATGTTTATCAAAATAAGATTGCTATTATTTTAAATACTGGAGAAATTGCATTATATGATCTTAATAAATTAAATAAATAAAATTAGAATCTTAATTCAACTATTGGTGTAAATGTTAGTACTATGATTAAAGAAAATTATGCAGATACTCTTAATTTTAATAATACAACAACAAATATTGATATTAAGAAAGTTGGAAATTATACTAATACTTTGTAAGGATCTTTTTCATAATCTATAGTAAGTAAAAAGAACAACAGTAAATCTAATAGTATGAGTTAACCAATTAATTCTTATACTTTAGGAAAAATTTATAAGAATAGTGAAATTCCATTAAAAGAACTCTTAAATTATTAAAAATTACAATAATTCTTAAAGTAATATCATGTTTTTCCAGATGACAAAAGAAGTTTAATATGGAGATCTTTACTCAATCTACCAATGAATTAAGAAGCTTATAATAATTTAATTAATTAAGGAATTCATCCAGCCTATTAAAAATTAGCTGATCAATATCCATTATAAAGTGAATCAATGTTTTCAAGATTACAAAGAACTTTATCTTGTTTAGCATACTATTGTCCTTTATTTGCTGAAATCGATTATTTACCATAATTAGTATTTCCATTTGTTAAATTGTTTAAAAGAGGAGAAGAATTATTAATATTTGAAGTGACACTCTCTCTATTGATATAACATTGTCAAAGATATTTTGAAAATTTCCCTAATGCTCCAGTCTCTTTATTATAATTCCATGACCATGTATTTAACTAAATAGATCCTCAATTATATTAACATATGAAATAATATTTAGGATATTCACCAATTAAATATTCTTGGCCTACTATTAGGTAATTATATACTAATCTATTGACTAAGAATTAATGGATGTAATTAATAGATCATTTGATATTGTATAATGATTTACCTTAAATGATTGTATTGTTTATGGTTGAATATTTTATTTATTTTAAAAGTACTATTATGAAAATGAATGATTAAGATTAATTAGATCTCTTTTTTGGTAGAAGTAATACAGTTGAAATTGATAAACTAATTGAGAGTACAATGAATCTTAGTAAATCATTAGATATGGATTAATATTAGATTAATTTTCAATTTTTATTACCTTTACAAAAAGATTAATATTAACTTTTTAGTATTTATCCAAAAGGGAGTGTATAATATTAAGCAAGAGTAAGAGAATAATTATAAGAAGATGAATAAAGATTGATATAAAAACAATAACAAATCTCAAGACTTTAATAAATGGCTTAATAGATGGAATAATTGGATTAATTGTTTTAGGAAAAATAACTTTTAACTATGTAAGCTGAAAAAGATAGATAAGAAATGTTTGATTATTAAGTTGAAATGAGAGCCTAAAAATAATTTTAATAAGATCAATAAGTTAGATAATAAAGAATTAAGTAATTAGAAAATTTAGAGAAGAATATGAATCAAGCAGTTTAAAAATAATTAGATTTGTAATAATAAGAATAGGAATATTTAAATAAATAATTCAGAAAAACTTAATTAGCAGATAATTTTAGGATTGTATCCTTATAAGAAGAGGAAGCTTTACAAAATTTAGAGTATCAAATATTTAGTAAATTTCAACAATAAATGGAATAAAGATCTAAATAAGAGAATTAGAGAAAGATTTAATCATAATTAGAATTTAGATAAAAAGAAAAAGAATTATTAGATTAAATTAAATAAGAATAATGGAAAATGGATTCTTAACAATAATAAATAAAAGTTGAATAATTGAAATAATTAAGGATGTAATAAATATAAGAATTAGAAAATGAAGCTTAATTAGAGGAAGTTGAATATTAAGAGAGAATATAATAATTTCAATAAGATTTAAAAATGATTTAATTAGAAAGAGAAAAAAAGTTAAGAGATCAATTATTTTAAGAATAAATAAATAAAGAAGAGTTATAATTGAGAGATAAAAAATAAGTTGAAGATAAAAAAAGATAAAGTAGTATTTAGAGAAGATAATAATTTGAATAAGAGATGGAGAGAATAGCTAAATAACACTAAGACAAATTAAGAATTTAAGAATAGTAATTAATGGAATAATATAAAAAATCATAGAGTTTTTCAAATTAATAATATCAACCAAACTACTATTAAAATAGTAATTATTAAAACAATTTCGAATAAAGTTCAGGTGATATTAGAGAACCAATGACTAGTTAAAAATTATCAAGTGCATTGTATGATTTTCAATCTAGTCAGAAATAATAATAATTTTCACCTTCAATGTTGGTAGAAGATGAAAGAGAAAAGATAAATTAACTAAGAAATTAATTAAGAGATGAAATGTAGAATATAAGGGAAAGAGAACATGATGAACAATTATAATCTATGTTGAGAGAAAGGGAATAGGAAATATTCAAAAGAACTTAATAAATAAGAGATTAAATCAATTAAGAAGTTGAAAATAAAAATAATTCAAGTATAAATTATTATTATCTATATTAGCATATAATACAGGATAATTCTAGAAATAATAATAATATTATAGTCCAGGATCATCATCACAATTTTCACTTTATAAACCATAATAAGAGGTCGATATAGAACCAAGGGACTTATCAGAATCTTAGTTAACATATAGTAGTGGATTCACTTCTCCAGGTTAACGTTATTGATAATAAAATATAAATAATTTTCAAACTAAAACTTTTGGAGCCAAATGCTGTATAATTTAAAGTAAAGTCTAGTTTAAATATATATTTATATATAAAAAATGGATCAAGATCATGATTATTCTTTTGAACATTTATAAGAATTAGCAAAATAAAAAAATATATCTTATGTATTAAAAAGAGATGGAGGAAAATAAAATATTGATATTTAAAAAATAGCAGAGAGATTATAAAATTTAGCTTCAAATCTTTAGCATATCAATATAAACTTAATAATGTGGAAGGTTATTCAGGGAATGTATGAAGGTATTTAAAATTATAAGATTTTATTTTAGGAATAACAACTGTATAATTAGATAATTTGGCGGCAGAAACATGTGCTTATATGAATTTAGTACATCCACAATATTCTTTATTAGCTGCAAGAATAGCAGTCAACAACCTTCATAAAGAAACAAGTGAATCCTTTAGTGAAGTGGCAACAAAATTGCATTCTTTTACAGTAAATTTTTTGTTCTAAATTCTAGGATAAATATGGTAGACCAGCTCCTTTGATTGCAGATGATGTTTATAAAATAATAATTGAAAATAAAGATATCATTCAAAATGAGATAAATTATGATAGAGATTATCAATATGACTTTTTTGGTTTCAAGACTTTAGAAAGAAGCTATTTACTTAAGGAAGGTAAAAAACCTATTGAAAGACCATAATAATTATTAATGAGAGTCAGTATTGGTATTCATAAAGAGGATCTACAATCAGCATTTTAAACCTATCATTTGATGTCTTAAAAGTACTTTACTCATGCAACACCAACATTATTTAATAGTGGTACACCTTATCCTTAAATGTCATCTTGTTTTCTATTAGATATGGTTGATGATTCAATAGAAGGTATATATGAAACTCTCAAGAGATGTGCTTTAATAAGTAAATCAGCTGGAGGAATAGGATTAAGTGTATCTAAGATCAGATCATAAGATAGTTATATAAGAGGAACTAATGGTATAAGCAATGGATTAGTGCCTATGTTGAAGGTGTTTAATGATACAGCAAGATATGTAGATTAAGGAGGTGGCAAAAGAAAAGGATCTTTTGCTATTTATTTAGAACCATGGCATAGTGATATTATAAGTTTCTTATAATTGAGAAAGAATCATGGAATTGAAGAATAAAGAGCAAGAGATTTATTTTTAGGTTTATGGATACCAGATTTATTTATGTAAAGAGTTAAAGATGATTCAGATTGGACTTTAATGTGTCCAAATGAATGTCCAGGTCTTTAAGATTGTTATGGTTAAGAATTCAATAAATTATATACAGAATATGAATCTAAAAATATGGGAAGAATGACAATAAAGGCTAGATAATTATGGTAAGAAATAATTGATGCTCAAATATCAACTGGATTACCATATATGTTATATAAAGATGCTTGTAATTAGAAAAGTAATTAAAAAAATCTAGGAACTATCAAAAGTAGTAATTTATGTACTGAAATCATATAATTTACATCACCAGATGAAATTGCTGTTTGTAATCTTGCTAGTATTAATTTATAAAAGTTAATTAAAGAAGATAAAACTTTTGATTTTGATAAATTGTTGGAAATTACAAAAATAATTACAACAAATCTTAATATTGTAATTGATTTGAACTTTTATCCTGTTAAATAAGCAGAATATAGTAATAAAAGACATAGACCTATTGGTATTGGTGTCTAAGGATTTGCAGATGCATTACAAAGAATGAAAATACCATTTGATTCAGAAGATGCTTAAGAATTAAATGCCAAGATTTTTGAAACTATTTATTATGGAGCATGTTAAAGATCTTTGGAATTAGCATAGAAATTAGGACCTTATGAAACATTTACAGGTAGTCCAGCTTCATAAGGAATTTTATAATTTGATATGTGGGGTGTAAGTCCAAAATTATATGATTGGAATACTCTCAAATAGAATATTGTAAAATATGGAATGAGAAATTCTTTATTAATTGCACCTATGCCAACAGCATCAACAAGTTAAATTTTATAAAATAATGAATCATTTGAACCATATACTACTAACATATATACAAGAAGAGTTTTAGCTGGAGAATTTGTATGCATCAATCCACATTTAGTTGATGATTTAATAGAATTAAATTTATGGACACCTTAAATCAAGAATAAATTAATTATGAACAATGGTTCTGTCTAAAATATAGAAGAAATTCCTAATAATATAAAATCATTATATAAGACAGTTTGGGAAATCTCATAAAAAGCTATATTAAATTTAGCAACTTCTAGAGCTCCATTTATTGATTAGAGTCAATCATTAAATATCCATATGGCTGAACCAACTATGTCTAAAGTAACATCTATGCATTTCTATGCTTGGGAAAAGGGATTAAAAACAGGTATCAATTATATATAATTAATTTAGGAATGTATTATTTGAGAACAAGACCTGCAGCAGATCCTATTAAATTTACAGTAGATGTTGAAGCATTATTAAAAGAAGGTGGACAAATAAAAATTTAATCATCTAAATAAGAATTAATTGATGAAAGTGCATCCAAAAAGATTATTACTAATGAAGGTAAAACAGTTAAGAAGGGTAAACCTCAAATTATTGTTACTGAAGATGGTGATGAAGTTGAGGTTTGCTTAAATTGTGGCTCTTGAATACATATTTATATTAATAATTTATAATTTTACAGCTTTTTAAATTAGTAAGATAAAAAAACATAAAAAGATAGATAATGTAATATACTTATGTAATTATATTCATTAAGCTGGTTATTCTGTTTCTTCATTTCTTCTTGGAGCTCCTCTATTTCCTCTACCAAAAGATCTTCCTCCTTTTCCACCTCTTTATCTTGTTTCTGGAGCATCATCTTCAAATTTCTTATCAGCTTTTTTGAATGTTGCAGGAATAACATCTTCTACAATACCTAAGAAAATGTAGAAATCAAATAAATACCCAATTTGTCTCTTACATATTTCACACCTTCTGCCTTAAGATAATAATAGTAATATTGCCATGAAAATACTAAATCCACTAATTTTTTATCTCTTAAACTTCTTAAAAGCATCCAAACTTCAAGATTCTTAACTCCTGTTTCAGTATGTTATGGGAGTGCCATGTCCTATTATTTATTAATTCATCATTTACCTTCTTAATTACTATAACACCTTCCATTAACAAGTATTCATAAACTTTTCTTCTATCTTATCTCTTAACTTGAACCATGCAAAAATAATGGATTTATTTTTTATTTAAAAAATATTTAAACTAATTATTACATGAAAATGGAAGAAAAAACAATGGAGGTAACTAAGTTGGTAAATAATATTATTTAATAATAGAAAATTGAATAAAATGTATAAAAGCACTAAAGGGAAACAAGATTTAAGACATTTGAAAATTTTAGAGATTTAAAAGCAAAATAAGACCATGATGATTTAATAAAATAATTTGAAGAGTAATTCTATGTTATTGGTAATATCAAATTAAATATTAGATGAAAAATATATAAAATAATAAATAGATTAAAAAGCTGAAGAATAAGAATATTATTCTCAGGTTTATGAAAAATCAATGTTAGCTAATTTAGATAATATAAACTTTGAAATGCCTTCATCCTTAGAGGAAGAATTTATTTGATGATTAATATATTACATACAATTATTCTAGTTATATTCATTTTATTACAAGTGAACCTAAATTTCTATTAAATAAAAATCATACAAGATATGATTTAATTAATAGATATTCATTTCATTAAATATATAATCTATTTAGACTTAAGATTAAGTAGTACGTATTAATTATAATTTCTTATGAAATAATTAAGGAATACTAATAGAATGAGTTAAAATTATTATAAAGGTAATGAAAAGTATAGAATTTATAATTTTTTAATGGGTTTTTTTATTAATTAATTTAAGATGAATAAAAAATAAGGATTATAAAAATTATGATAGACTTGACTTAATATTAGGATTAGGGTTAGGATCAATAGATATAGAAAAAAATAAAATAAAATTAAATTAAATTTTTAATTCTCGTAAAAATTAAAGAGATGAATAATATATTCCGATTCAAGTCATTTATGCGAACTCCTTTGTTTTGGTTTAGTCAACCAATGCATAAATTAATTAGAAACATTGGTGTTTCAGCTCATATAGATTCTGGGAAAACAACATTTTCTGAGAGAGTACTTTATTATGGTGGAAGAATTCATGAAATTCATGAAGTAAAAGGAGCAGATTCAGCTGGTGCAACAATGGATTTTATGGAACTTGAGAAAGAAAAGGGAATTACAATTTAAAGTGCTGCTACTCATTTGAAATGGAAAGGACATTAAGTTAATTTAATTGATACACCAGGACATGTGGATTTTACTATAGAAGTAGAAAGAGCATTAAGAGTACTTGATGGTGGAGTATTATTGATTTGTGGAGTGGCTGGAGTACAACCATAAACATTGACAGTTCACAAATAAATGTCTCGATATAAGGTGCCTAGAATTATATTCATAAATAAATTGGATAGAATGGGAGCAAATCCATGGAGTGCTATATAGAGTATAAGAAAAAGATTGTCATTAACAGTAGCAGCAGTATAAATACCAATTGGATAAGATTAAACTTTTAATGGATTAGTAGATTTGATTAAAATGAAGGCTTATTATTTTGAAGGTTTAAAGGGAGAAGATATAAAGGAAACAGAAATTCCAGAAAGATATATGGAGGAAGCAAAAGAAAAGAGATAAGAATTGATTGAAACTTTAGGAAGTATTGATCCAGAGATAGAAGATTTATATTTGAATGAATAACCAATTAGTGAAGAGAAATTAAAGTCATCAATTAGAAAGAATTGTTAAGAACATAAATTTTATCCAGTCTTTATGGGTAGTGCATATAAAAATAAAGGAGTTTAATTGGCTTTAGATGGTGTAGTAGATTATTTACCTGCTCCAGAAGAGAAATAAAATTTTGGATTTTAAATATCTTAAGATTAGAAAGAAGAGAAAAAGATTGAATTTAAAACAGATACTAAATTACCATTTGTAGGTTATGCATTTAAATTAGAAGAAAATAAATTTGGATAATTAACATATGTTAGAGTATATTAAGGTAAATTAAAGAAAGGAGATTATGTTTATAATATGAAAACAAAAAAGAGAGTAAAAGTTGCTCGCATGGCTAAAATGCATGCAAATTAAATGGAAGAAATTAATGATGTTGAAGCTGGAGATATTTTTGCAGTTTTTGGAGTAGATTGTTCAAGTGGTGATACTCTTGTATATGGAGATATGAATTATTAAGTTTTATGTTCTAGTATGTTTGTTCCATAACCAGTCATGTCATTATCAATTAAACCTACTAAAAAAGAATATTCTGCAAGATTTTAAAAAGCTTTATCTAAATTTTAAAGAGAAGATCCTACTTTTAATGTTGATATGGATAAAGAAAGTGAAGAAATCATTATTTCTGGTATGGGTGAATTACATTTGTAAATATATGCTGAACGTATGAGAAGAGAATTCGAAATTGATGTTCAATTAGGTTAACCAACTGTTAATTATAGAGAAACTATCACATAAAAATAATAATTTGATTATTTACATAAAAAGTAATCAGGAGGTGCTGGTCAATATGCTAAAGTTATTGGATATATGGAACCACTATAATTAGAAGAAGGTTAATTCTCTAATCAATTTGAAAATCATGTTATTGGTACTAGTATACCTAATGAATATATTACTGCTGTTGAAAAAGGATTCTATGAATCAGTAGACAAAGGTCCTTTGACTGGATATCCAGTTGTAAATGTTAGATTTGTTTTAGAAGGTGGTGAAACTCACGTTGTGGATTCATCATCTAATGCTTTCATGACAGCTACCAAATATGCATTTGCTTAAACTTTTAGATAAGCTGGACCTGAAATTTTAGAACCTGTTATGGCAGTTGAAATCATGGTTCCTGCTCCTTCTTATTAATAGGCAATGGTTGGTATTGCTAAGAGAAGAGGATCTGTTACAAACACTGAATCTCGAGGAGATATGTTTGTATTAAATGCAGATGTGCCCTTGTCTTAAATGTTTGGTTATGCAACTGAATTAAGAGGTTTTACATCAGGATAAGGAGAATTTTCACTAGAATACAAAAGACATGATCCAGTTCCACCTAATGAAATTGAAACTATCATTGCTAAATTCAAAAAATAAAAGAGAGGATAATGATTTTGAGTTGTTTTTTTTTAAATATAAAATTTATCAAAATATACTTTTCTAGGTTGAATTAAGGATTTATTAGGGATTTATATAATCCTCTTATTTAAACCTGTAAATTCTCTAGAAAAAATTAAGAAACTCTTTGATATTCTTATATTTTAATTTTCATACAATTAGTAATAATAATAATTAAAAGCATAATTACATAACCAAGAGAATATAAATGTAAAACATTGTAAAAAAGTAAAAAAGTAGGACTAGAAAAGGTCAAAAATAAAGGAATTTAGAAAAGAAAACAAATTTTGATAGTGTTAATTTCAAATCCAATTAGGCGGCATGTGAATATGAGTATTTAATATTTATATAACATAGATAAACTGCAACTAAGAAAGTTAAGAATGAAAAATCTATTTCTCCCATAATTACAGAAGAAACTCCAGATTTATAACAAAGAATTGAATAATAATAAAAGTTAGAGGATTTGATTAGTGATGAGTTTGGTAAAGAATTATCTTCATTTACTTTTAATAATTCATTAGAAAATAATTAAGAAGAAGAGTAAGAAACAATGAATGAGTTTATGAGAGAATAAGTAAAATTTGAGGAAATTTATAGTTATTAAAAAAATTACTTAAAAAATTAGAATGAAATTTAAAGTCATATGGTGGCAATATTATTTGATTGGTTAGTTGAAGTAGCTCATTCATTTCATTTTAAAAGAGAAACATTTTATTTATCAAGAAATTATGTTGAAAGATTTCTACTTAGATAACCAAATGTTTTAATAGCTAAATTTTAACTTCTAGGAGTAGCAGCTATTTTTATAGCTCATAAATGTGAAGAAATTTATCCAAAAACATTAAAAGATTTTCATAGACTCATTTAAGATTAATATACTATTTAAGATATAGAGGAAATGGAAGTTGCAATATTAAAATGTTTAGATTTTAGAATGAATCCAAATACTCCTATATTTTGGTTAAATTATTATACTAAATTATGGGATGAATTTATTATTGACAAAGAATTAAATGTTTAATTAAAAGAAAGAACTAATGAATCTTATTATAGATATAGAGAACTTGTTTAATTGTTTGATGTTTGTTTAATAGATTATAGATTTAAAAAAGATGAAAAGATTACTGCATTAAGTTTAATTTATTTAGTAATTGCAAAATCATTGTTAATATTTGAAGATTATAAAAAGATTGCTAATTAGTAATAAGAAATTAAATGTTTTATTGATTCAGATCATAAATATAATAAAATATTCAAATAATTTATAGAATAATCTGATTTTTATTTATATTTTGATAAAAAGATAGAAGTAAATAATTTTATAAAAATATAGTTTAAAGATTTGAAAGATGTGATTTGTGAGACTACAAAATATTTTATACTTCGATTTGATAATACTTTACCAAGAGTATTATTAAATAATCAAGAATTTATAGATGAAGTATTTTTTAATAATAAAATTAGTTATAACATGAAGAGTTACTTTCATTCCAGACATACAATAGAAATACTATAGAAACTATAAATTTCTTGCTAAAATAATAATAATAATGATCTTTAATTTCTTTATTTCAATATTATAATTATATATATACCATTTGAGATGCAAAATCTTCTTTAAAAAATAAGCAAAGATTAAGAATTAAAATAAAAAAAAATACCTGTTGGTGAATTATAGAACATTTTGCATTAATATAATATTACTAATATTGAATTAGACGATGAATAAGAATTTACTTATTAAGAATTATACAATTATCTAAATTTAATTTAATATAAGGACTCCTTATAACATATTTCAAAGGATTAAATATTAACAAGAACACAAAATGAATGGAATATTTATACAATCTAAAGAGATTAAAATGAAAAGGATTTTCATGATTTAGTATAAGAAAGATTAGCAAAAGGATTTTAATTTGATGTAAATGATTGTTATTTTGTTAATCCTGATATCTTTCAATATATTCAATTATGTCTAGATGAAATAAAGTAATAATAATAACAATAATAAATTAATAATACTTAAATTTAGAAGCCAAGACCAGGAGGGATTAGATCTTAATAAGACTTATAAATATAAAGTTAAAATTAAACTATTAAACCAAAAGATAATTCAATTCTTGAAGGTATATATATAGAACCTGAAAATGAAGCAAAATAAATTGAGTATTTTTTCTATAAATACTTTATTAATGATTAGATAAGTAAATTAATTACTAGATGTGGTTGGAAAAGTGGAAATGAACATACAAATTTTAATGTTGAAAATATATGTAAATAATGTATATCAAGAGCTGAATATACAAGAGCAGCAGCTATAGCTTGTGTTCATTTCCAATTTTCTAAAGCAATTGATATTTTGAGAGAATTATTACTAAATAAAGATAAAGAAACTTATTAAATTTTAATGGCTTTATAAGGTATTGATGAAATGAAGAATTTATATACAATTATTAGTTAAAAAGAAGTATTAAAAAAAATAATTGAAATTTGTTAAGTGTTTTTAGAAAATAAAAAATTTAATGATCCTTATTATGAATTAATTGCTGAATTTCTAAAAAAAGATAAATTTCTTGAATATTTAAATTATGGTGCTCATAAAATAAGTATTTTTGATAGAATAGGATTATGGGGAAGGTTTTGTTAAGGTAGGAAACCCTAAATCTAGAATCTATTAGATAATATCATATTAAATGGAAAATCTGAAATATCAATTTAATATTTATAAAAATATCTTGATGATAAGGGTGATTTACAATTATGTGGAATTATTTCTATTTATTTATATATATTAGATTATCCATAAAAAGATAAATTAATTAAGAATTTTAATTCTTATATTGATTATTTATTGAAATAAGATATACCAATTAATTCATTATTATGTAGAATTAAGTAAACTGAATTAGAGTACAATAAACCATTTCTTAATGAAGCATTTAAATAATATCTATCTCCTTAAATTTCTATGTGTTGCAATTTTTGTTCAAATCCAGTTGGATAACCTTATTTAGAAATTTAAAGAAGGGGTAATCCAAGAAGAGGGTAATAATTATGAAATATTAAATTAATTACTTAGAAATCTAGCCAGAGATGATAATCCAAGAACAAATCTTTGTGCTTCTTGTAATCATGCATTGTCAAATTGTGTAGTTTGTGCATAGTATTTTACAATACCAAATAATTAAGACATTGATAGAAAAAGAGGATCTAATTAATAAAGAATTTTAGATCAATTAAAAATAGAATAAGCTATAGTATGGTGTTTGAGTTGCAAACATGGAGGACATTAATCTCATATTGAAGAATGGTTTGAATTATATCAAAAATGTCCAGTTTATGATTGCGATTGCGAATGTAGCATTATTTGATAACAAAAGGATATTTTTATTATTAATATTATTGTTTATATAAAATTAATGTAGCAATCCAATCCAATCCTCTAGATAATCTCAAACATTCTAGATGAAATAATCAAAGAAACTGATGTTCTTGAATTAGAATCCAATTCTATCTTTCATGCTATAACAGCACCTGCTATCTCAATTTACAATTATTTACAAAGAATAAATAAATATACACATTGCAGTGAATAATGCTTTGTTATAGCTCTTATATATTTAGATAGACTTTAAGAAAAACATGCAAATCTAGTATTAAATTCTCATTGTATACATAGGTATATTTATTATTTATATATATATCTTTTTATAGATTTTTGCTGTTAGCAATTGTAACTGCAATTAAATTTTAAGATGATGATTATTATAAAAATGAATACTATGCAAAAATTGGTGGAATAAATCTTAAAGAAATAAATAAATTGGAATAAGAATTCTTGGAATATATGAATTATGATTTATTTATTGATGAACAATAATATTAAATCTATGAAAATAGATTATTAGAATATGGTGAAATAGAAATGCCTTGATGTGTAATTTATAATTATATATTTTGTTCTTTTATTTAAAACTATCTAAAAATTTTAATTCATTTCTTAATTCATTAATAATTCTATTTTGAATTTACTATTTTGATTAGATAAAATTTATTTATTTTTTTTAAATGTAAATTCGTTGATCAATTCTTTAAAATACAATTTATTTTTAATAAATATTGAGATTAAAAATCAAAAACAAACACATTCACATATACTGATCTTTTAATCTGATCTTCTTTCAAATTTTTAATTAATGTTTATATAATTATTACAATCTTAAATAATTGATATTTCATCTAATTCTTTTATTGTATCCAATCTATTATCATCTAAATTTTTATCAATTTATTAAACATATTTTAAAACATTATTGAATTCAGAAAATTAAATCATTCCATCTCCATTATCATCAAAAAAATCAATTATTTCTTTTATCTAAATTTAATTAATAGGCAATAAATACATTTTAATTTGTTAATGAATTTGTATTTGCAAACATCTTAATCATTTTTTTAAATTGATGTCTCTCTAATGTATCTTATTTTGTAGTAGCAAACTATTCAAATAACTCTCTTATATTATATTATGTTAATGCTGCATCTAATTTTGATAATATTTTAATATTAGAAGTAGACAAATGTCTTACAATTTTTACTCTTTTAGGATGATAATTAAATATATAAGTCTTAAATTCTTTATAATTTACTTTTCCATTAATTTAACATTCCTAAAATAAATATTAAATATCATTATCGCTTATACCATCATCTTCATTTATTTTCTTAATTAACTTACTGAATTCATCAGAGTTTAATTCACATTTATTTTTTTTTATATTTAAATTAATTAAAAATTTATCCATCTATTCTTCTTATCCAATCTTTTATCTAAGGCTTTGAGTTAATATAAATATCTTTTTTAAATTACTATTCTATTAAATATTCACTTTTCCAAAATAATTACATACATAAGGATGTCTAAATAAATCATCCCAATTTAATCTTTTTTCTTCATTAACTTATAAACAATTAATAATTAAATCTTAACAAATTGGTGATACTTATGGATTTTAAGGAAATGTTATTGGAACATTAATGATTTGTTATACTAAATCATTCTCTGATTTTCCTACCCAAGGCACTAAATTAACTAATATATACATACAAGTATTGAATATAATTTAATATAAAATTATTCCAAAACTCCATATGTCACTTTTTGTTGTGTATTATTCCTCTTTAAGTAATTAAGGGCTCATATATGCAGGTGTTCCCAAATTACTCTTTAATATTTATGCATTGTAATTAAATATTGTCTTTGCATAACCAAAATCAGCTAATTTAAAGATCTTTCTTTTTCCTTCTTAATGAACTAAAATATTTGCTGGTTTCAGATCTCTATGTGCTATTCCTTATCTAATTAATGTTGTAAAGGCATTTAAAATATCCTATAAAAAAGTTATATGATCTTCTAATTTGATGGTATTCTTCTATTTAAGTAGAGAGTCTAAATCTCCAATATTGCAATATTCTAATATTATATAATAATGATCTTTTGTTTAAAGAACATCAAGAATCTCAATTATATTTGGATTTTTTATTCTTTTAAGCATGTTAATCTCATTCAATAAATGTTCCTCATTATCTAAAATAATTTAAATAAGATAAAACCTGCACTTTGAAGATCTGCTTTAAAAATTTGTTTGATGGCAACATTTTATTTTGATTTGGTATCGACTCCTTAGTAAACTGTAGCATAAGACCCTTTGCCAATTTTCCCCTTTTTATAATTATAACGGTAATGTTCAATTTGCTTTTCATTTTTATTCATTTATAATCTAAGAATAATATGTGAATAATTATAAAATTATTTGCATATTATCAATTAATCTCAATTTTCTATTTAAGTTAAGATCTAGTATTTATTTGATTTAATGAATAAAAATTTTAAACATATAATTAATAATAGATATTTAAATCTTTATATATTTCTCATTCATCTAAAAGAAAAGATTTATTATCAATAAAAAGTAAAATAATAACTTTTATTAAAAACACATTCCAATAAAATTATCTAAAATATTTCATTAGCAATCTTATTTAATTTTAATATAATAAAGTTTCACTGCATAAGTTAAATAATAAAATTAAGAAGAGATTACTAAATATTTAGTTTAATCATGTAAGTTTACTCCCTATATAAGATTTTTAATTAAAAATAAATTATTAATTTTACATATATATTTTAATATTAATATCTAGAAAATAATATCTATTATAATAAACTATTGCTTTAAATAATAATTAATTTATTTTTCAATATGAATTTAATTGTTATTTATAGGTAAAAATTCAATTTTGTAATACTGTCAATTTTGCTTTAATAGAACTAATTAAAAGATTATCTGCTTATGGGCTATCATTACCAGTGACACGTGCTAATTATTCTTATTTTTTAGACATCTCTTCTAACCTAAAATTATAAGTATTTTTTACTTTTTTGCTTCTTCTATTATTAATTAATTCTTATCTTTAATTGATAAATTATTATTGAGAGCTACTTTCTACCAATAATTTGTATTTTATTGCTATGTATTAGTTTCAATAACAAAACTCTTATGTTTAAACTTAGGTAATTGAGTATCTTAACTGGCTAAATCATATGATGTATTCTAATCTTTATTTTTTATAAAATTAATTAACGATTAAGCATCTTCATCAGTGTCTTGAATTTAATATGAAATCTTTTTTTATCTAACTTTATTAGCTAAAACTTGATATTTTTAGAAATCAGATTTATGATGCAATTTACTTTATATTTCTTATAATTCATTTTATTTATCTAAACTCAATTTAGGTTTGAATCTTTTTTTAGTTTCTTCTGAAAAATTCTTCTTTTTATTTTATAATTCCATTAAATGATTTTTTCTTTCTTATTCTAATAGTTTTAATTTAGTTTATTCTTGTTCTATTTTTAAATAGTAAGTAGATTTTTCTGGACTTATAGATTTGGTTTAGTTATTAAATTATTATTCAATAGATTTCTTTCTTGGCTAAATAATTAAATCACAAAATTTTTTTCTATGCTCTTCAAAATCTATTTTATTTAAAGGTTTTCTTTCTTATTTGATTTATTCTAATTTTTGTTGTATTATTTCTTATTATAGCTTTATCTATGCATTTTCTTATTCTTATAATATTTAAAATAATGGTTTCTAGTGTTAAATTTATTAGGTTTTTTTCCAAGATTCTAAGAAATCCTATTTCCTCTTCTCTTAAACCTCTTAAATTTGTCTTATTTTTAACTATGCTCTTTAACCTCGTTCCTTTCTCAATGAATCTATTTCTTCCTTTGTAAATGTTTTAACTTCAATTTAACCAAAGCAATCAATCTTTCTTACTATTTTTGATATAGTACCTAGTTGGAATAGAGATTTAGGCAGTTTAGGACCTAAATGTAATATCTAAATGTTATTGGTTTTGATTTATGAATAACTAACGAGAATCTAATTCTTCAATAATTTTCTATGATTTAGTAGAAACTAATTATTGAGCATATTTGATGCATCTAGTAGCTGAAAAATTTCCAAGTAAATTATCTAAGTAAGAATCAACATTTTTTATTTGATCCATTGTGATTATAATAATTTAAATAAATAAAACAATCAATAATCATATAAAATAATCATTTTATCTTTTAACGATATTATTTTCTGTTTGAAAATGAGATAATTTAAGATACTTTAACATAGCTTATTAAATAAAATATGGACAATTAAAATTTAATTTATGGTTGTTTGAAAATAAAAATGATTGAATTTCTTTTTAAAATCTCAAAGTTTTTAAATATTTCTGTAATAATATAATATTCTCTATGGTTTTCTCAAATTTAATCATAGATATTACTAAAAAATACATCAAAATATTTATAAATGTTAATAAGTTTACAATGCTAAATGAATATTTATGTGAGATATGTCTAATATAGGAGGAATGGAGATTAGCTTTTTATGAAAATTAATTTAATTAATTTATTACTAAGCATAATCAAAAAAATCTAATAATGCATGATAGATATACTATTTAATCAATTATTTTTAATTATTCAATGATTCCATAAAATAATCAAAAATATGAACTTATTTCTATTCTTATAATGATATTTATTCGATTATGTTTATATTGAGATATATTATATCTATAAACTAATATGTAATCATATGTAAATATTGATTTAATTAGTTTTCATAAGATGAATGCATTTTTGATTATTATACTTTTAATTAATATTTAAAATTATGTATTAATCAAATCAGCCAGGCTATTCGATTAATATTTAAGTTTATTGTAAATAATTAAATGGACTACGTTATGGATAAAGTTATTAGTTAATTGTATTTACTAAGGATCCTGATGGAGTATTTTAAGAATTCAAAGTAATTGATGTACTATGAATATTAAAGAATAGAATTATTCTAATGATCATCATGTCATGTTTAAATTTTATGGTCTTAAATATTTATTTGAAATGGTTTAGCCTTTAAAATTCGATCTCTATTAAGGCTAATAATTTATAGGTTTATTTTGTTGTAATATTTTAGGATAATGTTAAGCTAACTTAGGTGAAATAATAGGAGATAAACAAAGAATCTTTTATCTATCTGATTTGATGAATTAAAGAAATGGAATGATATCATTTAAAACAGAAAGGAGCAAAGAAAATATCTAGAAAATCAAGTTTGATGTATTTTTCATTTATTATGATTAGATTTACTTATAACTAAATAATTCTCTGTTTTAGTCTTTGCTAAGTCTTTTCAAAGAGTAATAGTTCTTATCTTTGATTTTATATAAAAAGGTGCCAAATAAATAAGTTATACTATAAACTGAACCAAAACCTAAATAATCATAATTAAATTGGAGAAGAATTGAGACTTCTTTTGAAATTCTTTGTGATAATGATCCTTTATAATCTATTTTTTGTGAAGGTAAGATACTATGTGATTATTCTAGTGATTTAACATGAAGGATTTAATTAATAAAGTCTTGGTTAATTTGAATTCTGGAAATATTAGATAGATAAAAAAGTGTGTCTATTCAACATTATTAATCTCAATAATGAAATTATAGGAAGATCTATGATTGACTAATTTGAATATGATATTGAAGGACAGTTTTATAATTTTATCTGTATGTCTTTATTATTTCTAATATTTATAGAATAGGGTACTTAATTGGCATTGATTATTGCAATTGATTTTACTGAGAGCAATAAAAATCCATATCATAGTGAATCTTTACATTCAATATCAAAAGAAAGTCAATACTTATAAGCAATTGAATAAGTGGCAAATATATTGATGGATTATGATAGTGATAAAAAAGTTCCTATGTATGGATTTGGAGGAATCCCAAAATATTTATAAAATTTTAATAAGCATTGTTTTCCATTGCAAGGAGAAGCTCATAATTTAGATGATATTAGAAGAATATATGAATTCTCTGTTAAGAATATTTAATTTGATGGTCCTACTTGTTTTAATCCTATGATTAGATAAACTATGAAATGGGCATAAGAAGACTTAAATGCAAATGGAAACTAATATTTTGTATTATTAATTTTAACTGATGGAAAGTATATGGATGAGGATTAAACAATTATGTCTATTGTAGATGCTGGTAACCTCCCTTTATCACTTATTATTGTTGGTATTGGAGATTCAGCAGACTTGAAAGCCATGGATAAATTAGATGGAAATAATGGATTATAAGATACTCTTGGGAGATAAGCAGAAAGAGATTTAGTTAAATATGTTCATTATAATAAAGTTAAGAATGATCAAGGATAATTGGCAAAAGAACTATTAGATGAATTACCAAAATAATTAGTACTCTATAAAACTAAAAATAAATGAATGAAATTATTCTTTAATTCTCAATTAATTTATATATATAAATAAAATTTTTATATTATTGTATTCAATACTTTCAAATGGAATATTATCAAGGCATTTAATATATTGCTCAAAAAAACATAAATTAAATAGAAAATATAATCAAATTCGAAAATTATGACACTTTAATTAAAAGTAATGGTGATTATTTAATTGTTTTCAAATAGAATGAATGTGTTTGCTTAGAAGAATTAATTGAATCAATAGTATATATTAATATATTTATTTTAGAAAAATAATTATGTTAAAATTTCGATTGGATAAGCTATTATAATATCTAATAGAATTTTGAATCATGTAAAATAATTATTTGACATATAAAAAACAACTCATGGGAATTTGCTAACTAAGAATATTTATATTTCTCTAGATGCTAAGTCCAATAAATTTAATATTATTAATCCATTTTTAGAGATAAAGAAAATTCATTTTGTGGATTATTAAAATCATTACTCAATCATTAAGAAAGAAGATCAGAAAAATATCAAAGTAGCCATTATCAATTTATTGTCTTTATATTTAGAAAATAATAAAATTAAAAATTTAATATCTTTACTAAATAAAGAAGATACCTTTAAATATTTCATTTAATAATTAGTTCATTTCGAAAAATAGTAATTATTGTAAATCTATTAGATAGATTTGTTGATATAAATAAATAGTAACTAGATGCTTATGATTTAATATTAAATTACGAGAAAAGAAAAATGAGCTTAGAATATATAGAAAGTTTTTATCAAAAATTATATTTCGACTATTAATGTAAATTAAAAGAACATTGGTCCAATTAAAACAAAGATAAAATTTTAAATTCATAAAAAGAATATTCAGGACCAGATTCCTTATTTAAAAATATCATATATTAGATTTGCGATTTAATTTTTTTCCCTATTTAAAAAAGTATAATTGGACTATTTTAGATTGAAATTAGTTAAATATTGGATTCAAATAATTAGGATAATTAACTAGAAAGGATTTTTTAATAAATATATCAATATCAAAATCAAAAAATTAAAGAATTAAATTATTTCATTGAAATTATACCTTAACAAATTGATTTTTTTTTTAAAGAATAGTTATCATTATAAGAAAAATGTAATCTGAAATTTAATTTCTTAACAAAAGAATAGATTGCATCTGAATATCATAAATTATTAGCTTTTGAATTATCAAAAAATAATTGCACTGAAATTGATTAATCAAAAGAAATTTTAGAAATAATTCAAATTAGCTTATTTTAAAATGTAAAATAATATAGAGACAATGAACTAAAAATTTAATTAATAGAATTTTTGAATGATATGATATGAGATTCATATAATTAATATAATAGATTACTAAGTTTAACTCTTTCCTTTTAAATTAAGATAATTTAGGTTATATTAGAATTAAATCAACATCATCATATTAAGAAAAATAAGTATATATTCAAAAAAATTAATAAAACAAAAAGCTTTCATTTTTTTTTTTATATCTAAATTTTATTATTATTATTATTATTATTATTATTATTATTATTATTATTATTATTATTATTATTATTATTATTATTATTATTATTATTATTATTATTATTATTATTATTATTATTATTATTATTATTATTATTATTATTATTATTATTATTATTATTATTATTATTATTATTATTATTATTATTATTATTATTATTATTATTATTATTATTATTATTATTATTATTATTATTATTATTATTATTATTATTATTATTATTATTATTATTATTATTATTATTATTATTATTATTATTATTATTATTATTATTATTATTATTATTATTATTATTATTATTATTATTATTATTATTATTATTATTATTATTATTATTATTATTATTATTATTATTATTATTATTATTATTATTATTATTATTATTATTATTATTATTATTATTATTATTATTATTATTATTATTATTATTATTATTATTATTATTATTATTATTATTATTATTATTATTATTATTATTATTATTATTATTATTATTATTATTATTATTATTATTATTATTATTATTATTATTATTATTATTATTATTATTATTATTATTATTATTATTATTATTATTATTATTATTATTATTATTATTATTATTATTATTATTATTATTATTATTATTATTATTATTATTATTATTATTATTATTATTATTATTATTATTATTGTTATTGTTATTATATTGAGAATTACAATTCTTTAGTTAGATCAAAATCTTAGATTTCACTATGACCATAATTAATTGAACTAATCATTCCTAAAGGATTCATTGATTTTTCAGACCAATCTTAAATTGAATAGGTATCATTTTACTTATTTTCGTTTCCTAAAGTTAATTAAAAATAATACCCAATAATTCATCAATGAATTTTAGATTATCTTTAATTTCTTAATGAGAATCTTCAATTCGAGGAGGTGATTTTTATCTTATCTAAGAATCTCCAACTTTACCAAGCCAACTACTAGAGAAACTGGACTATGGTATTGATAATCCTAAACTACATTAAAAAGCTTCGCTTAAAATTTATTCAAATTATTGATCATTTATATCCTAAGTTGGTTATGGAGGTGGCAAAAATCTTAAATCTCTTTCATAAATTAAGTATTGATTTCCTTTTTAACAAACAATCACTAAAATATTTTCAGCATAATTCTGTAAAAATTAGAAAAAACTTTAGCATTAAAATCTTTAATAATTAAACCATTCTCCTAATAGTTAAGATAAATCATAATAAAGTTGATTTATACTGATTCCATATTTATGTTTACTTAAAATGTTTTTAATCATTTATAAGACAGTATAAATATATTTTTAATTAAAAGATTCACTTTATTTAACTTCTAAGAATTTATTATTTGAGAATTACTTTAATATTTTTTAGGCAATTTGGAATAATTTAATTTAGCAGTAAAATTATTTCTACCACTATTTTCAATAGAAATGACATCCTTAACACTTTCTATGAAATTCTTTAGTTTTGGAAAACCTAATTCAATCAAATTCAATTCAAAATTGACTCTTTCTTTTAACAATGTAGGTATTTATGCCAACGATACACTCTTAATTAATTATAAGTACATACCCATCAGGATTTTCCAATAACAATTCTATCAATTATTCTTATAGTTCTTTTACTCTTATTTTAATTTAAGGGTCTCCATCAACAGAACTATCAGTTGTATGTTCTGATTTTTCTCTACTTTCTTGTATTAGAATGGTTTTATTGTACCGAATATAATTCTTATTCACAGCCATTTAGACATAAAGTGTTAATCTACCAAGAGATAATTCTCTTAATTTCTTTGGTCCTAATAGCTTAATGAATTAAGCACATCCATATCTACCTCCTTTTAAAATTTTATTATTTTAAGCATTAGTCTTTGAAAAAAAATCCATTAAAAATTCTATAAATATAGTCCACTCCTATTTTTTATCTAATTCTGGTTGAAATTCATCCTCAACAATCCAATTTTATTAATAAATATAAATTCCATATGTTTCCTCTTATATTAATGGATCCTTAATATTTTTAACTTAGAGTAGTGGCAATTCAATTAATTTTCCATTAGAAGAACGGAATTTAATTTATTGTTTTTGAGATTTTAACTAATTCATAATAAGTTCCCATTCAATTCTAGTGTACTTTAATCCATAACATTCTTTAATTCTACTTTACACTAATCTTTCTGTTGGAGTAATTAAATCTCTTTTAATAGATCTGATAATCCAAACCAAATTTTCATATGTTAATTTCTTTACTGATAATGCATAAAAGTTAATTGAAATATCATTAAATAATCTTGTTGTTTTTGATATCCATCCTTTATCAATCAATTTTTAAAATAATTCTAATTAATTTTTACTATATTAAATATATCTATCTATACATGATTACTTTACTATCATCTAACAAACCTTATATTTATTCGTTTGTGTAAACGATGATACCGTTACTGCACTAGGTTTTCATAAACAATAAGAACTGATAAACTTCAGGTGGCAAGGTTATTTATAAGGTTTCCCATTCAAGAATTTCATTTGCTGGAAATGAAAACTATTTTTTTTATTTTTACAATACCTTCTTATCGCTAACAGTAAATGAATTTGAATTGATGTACTAGATTGGCTAAAGAGAATGTTCAGTTTTGCATTTGGTTAATTTTTAATGTTTTTCTTGAGACGATTATTCACTTTCCAAATAATTACTTTCAGCCAAAAATTTTAGGAATGGTTCATCAATTGCACTATTTGATTAAGTTGAAGATTGTCTTCTGATTTCAGATGATCTTAATTGTTATTATTATTACTGCATATGTTGTATTACTTATATAAAATAATATATATTTCTTTTTTAAATACATCTAATTATTAAATGCATTCTAAATAGATAGCATATCTAGTTAGATAAAATAAATATAATATATACAGGAGAATTATTTATAAAAATAGATCATAAACTTAAAAAGAAATCATTAAATTTCATATTTGCATTAACTAAAAAACAAATTAATAAGAATAATCCAAATAATACAAGTCTTACTTTTGAGTTTTATGTATATATGATTATTAGATAGATTTATTATTAAAAGAAATTATCTATAAATCTTAAAAAAAGTAATTAGATTTGCAAATTTAAGTAATAATTAAACCTTTGCTCTTTTGCAGATGTCTTTATAGTTAATTTTCTAATGAATTTATTACATCCTATAACTATTTGACAGTGATTAAATATAAAATGATTACATTGAATTTCTTTTTTCTTCAAATTTATTATAATTTAAGGTAATTCAATCAACAATTAATTTATTTCATTATAAAATCTAAGTTAAACTTCAAATCTTAAGTAAATTTCATGATAGTTTCAAATAATCACAAAGCTATATTACTAATACTCTAAAAATTTTTAATTTTCACATAATCTTAAATACTTGAAATACCATAATGATTTCTTGAAGGTCTCAGTCAGCGTTATAATATTCTTTCTAATTACAAATCTAAATATATTTTATTCTACTCAATTATTTATTATAAAGTCTTTAATAATAATTTTGATTTGTATAATATATATTTTGAATTCTCTACTTGAGGAGCAAATCTGTAATTATTTCAAATAATGAAAAATACTTTAAAGTAAATCTTTAATTTAATACCTTTCTTCTTATTTAAATTTTTCTTACCTATCTTGGTCTATCATGAAATTTTATTTTTTTTTACAGTAGATTTATTTCTTTTTTTAAGTCCTTATTTATTTTTTTGATTCTTAATTTTCTTTCAATAATTTATTTGAATTCCTATTATAATCTGCTTCTGCATCTTTTTTTTTATATTTTTGCTCAAACTTCTTCATCTAATACTTTTCTTTTGGAGGATTCAAAAATAGTTTATATTATTCTCTATTTAAAGTTTCTTTCTATTTATTTCATTTGATCATAAATAACAGTTCTATTTTCAATTTGATTTAAGCTTTCTCTTTACGAATAACTTCTAATATAAATCTAAATCTTATTAATAATAATAATCTTCCATTTCATTTTTGTAACTACTTTTTTTATTGATTAATATTAGATTTATTGAAAGATCTTCATATTTGTTCGCTAAAATTTCTCAACTATAAAAAATAATCAATCTATTTTACTATTTGAATTCTTTTATTTTTATTTATTAGATTTATTATTGTATCTATAGTTTTCATAATTATTATTCTTAGTATGATAGACAATAGAATGAATATTTTATTATAATAAATAAAAAATATTATTCTAAATTTATTGATAACAATGAGTGGAAGAATTTTTGATTAGAAATTTATGATTTAAAGTAAAATAAGTTAATAAATGAGTGTAAGCAAAATTGCTTGATAGTATAATTAATAAGCGAATATTTAATGATGATTTAGTATGTAGATGTAAATCTATTCAATCATTTTAGCAATNTAAATCTTAAAAAAAGTAATTAGATTTGCAAATTTAAGTAATAATTAAACCTTTGCTCTTTTGCAGATGTCTTTATAGTTAATTTTCTAATGAATTTATTACATCCTATAACTATTTGACAGTGATTAAATATAAAATGATTACATTGAATTTCTTTTTTCTTCAAATTTATTATAATTTAAGGTAATTCAATCAACAATTAATTTATTTCATTATAAAATCTAAGTTAAACTTCAAATCTTAAGTAAATTTCATGATAGTTTCAAATAATCACAAAGCTATATTACTAATACTCTAAAAATTTTTAATTTTCACATAATCTTAAATACTTGAAATACCATAATGATTTCTTGAAGGTCTCAGTCAGCGTTATAATATTCTTTCTAATTACAAATCTAAATATATTTTATTCTACTCAATTATTTATTATAAAGTCTTTAATAATAATTTTGATTTGTATAATATATATTTTGAATTCTCTACTTGAGGAGCAAATCTGTAATTATTTCAAATAATGAAAAATACTTTAAAGTAAATCTTTAATTTAATACCTTTCTTCTTATTTAAATTTTTCTTACCTATCTTGGTCTATCATGAAATTTTATTTTTTTTTACAGTAGATTTATTTCTTTTTTTAAGTCCTTATTTATTTTTTTGATTCTTAATTTTCTTTCAATAATTTATTTGAATTCCTATTATAATCTGCTTCTGCATCTTTTTTTTTATATTTTTGCTCAAACTTCTTCATCTAATACTTTTCTTTTGGAGGATTCAAAAATAGTTTATATTATTCTCTATTTAAAGTTTCTTTCTATTTATTTCATTTGATCATAAATAACAGTTCTATTTTCAATTTGATTTAAGCTTTCTCTTTACGAATAACTTCTAATATAAATCTAAATCTTATTAATAATAATAATCTTCCATTTCATTTTTGTAACTACTTTTTTTATTGATTAATATTAGATTTATTGAAAGATCTTCATATTTGTTCGCTAAAATTTCTCAACTATAAAAAATAATCAATCTATTTTACTATTTGAATTCTTTTATTTTTATTTATTAGATTTATTATTGTATCTATAGTTTTCATAATTATTATTCTTAGTATGATAGACAATAGAATGAATATTTTATTATAATAAATAAAAAATATTATTCTAAATTTATTGATAACAATGAGTGGAAGAATTTTTGATTAGAAATTTATGATTTAAAGTAAAATAAGTTAATAAATGAGTGTAAGCAAAATTGCTTGATAGTATAATTAATAAGCGAATATTTAATGATGATTTAGTATGTAGATGTAAATCTATTCAATCATTTTAGCAATATCTTTAAATAATTGATATTATAAAAAGATTTTAAATATTTTTAATTTTTAAGTTTTTAATATTAATGCAGAACACTAAACTATCTGAATCAATCGCTTAACTTGATTGCATTTAAAAGAAAATTCACAAAATTAAGACTCATAATGAAAAATTGCAAAATAACATAAAATTATGTCCATTTCCACCTGGAATGCAAATAATGGCTCAAAATCTCTATCCTATCAAACTCTGTATCCCCTTAACTTCTTTGAATATTAAAGAGACTATGTTAGAAGAATAAATTTTGTGGGACTTTGAAGATGATTTTTCAGATGAATAATTATATAGAAATCTCTTTGCTATAATAGTTGATTTATTAGAAGAAAAGTACCCAAACAAAATTACTAAGCTAAGTGCATTTGAAACACATAGTATAACAATTTGTTAATCATTAAATTAGAAATTATTGAAGATTGCTAATTTTAAGTAAAATAAGCCATAGAGGATCATAAGAAATATAAGCACATTCAAGATATATTGGCATTTGAATCATATATAGATAAAAATGATTCAATGATAAATTTACAAATAAATACATCCAAAATCAAAGAGACTATATAATGGGATTTAGAGAATGCATTTAATTAGTATTGATAATCAACCTATTTATTAGTATTGATGAATTTGTACATGCTTATTGTTATGAAAATAAATTAGATAAAGAAAACTTTGTTTTAATCGGAAATTAAATTAGGGAATAAATATAAAAAGCATATGAAAAAAGATTTCGTATTGCATAAAAATTACTATTAGATGATTAAACAGGTAGAAAAATATTTCAATATCAAAAGAATTCAAATAGAAACTGATATCATTTTTGGATTATCCATCTTTTGAACCTTATTAACCAATCAGAGATCTCCCTTAGAATAATGATTTAAATATGTTTTTCAAAAAAAACATTGAATTTTTGCCACCTGAATTATAAATACTTTATGGATAAAAATTGAATACTAAATAAATGTAAAAATATAATTTAACAATAGACTTGAATTAGGAGTAGATTAAGATGACACAAAAAAGTTTGAAAAAGAATTTAATTAAAAATCTAAATATCTTGATAAAACAATCTTAGCAGATATCATAAATAAGACTAAATAAAATTGATGTAAATATTAATTATTGTTTTATAAATTGAAAACTTTAATTATTTATTCTTTTTTCATTAATATATCCATACATTAATACAATAAAAAGAAAATGCTATATTTAATTTATTAAATTCAATTAAGTTAAGTAAAATTTTAAATTATCCATTAAATTTTTAGAATGATATTAGTAAATATTTGAAAATTAAAATGGCTATGGCTGTTATTCTCAATATATTAATTGTAATTATATTTTTATTATAGTTTTTCCTTTTTTGCCTTTATTTTTATTTAAATATATAAAACCACTCAACATATTAATTAAGTTTAGTATTATTTTGCATATTGATCTAATAAAGATGCATATTTATATCATAGTTTAGAATTATTATACAAAATTATAACTGATAATAAAAACTGAGGTTTTTTATATAAGTTCCTTTTTTGATATAATAGAATATTAGAAGTATGTATGAATATTAAGAAAGTAAAATAGTTAATATTGATTTTTGTTTCAATTACAAATTCATTAAATTTAAATTAATGTATTAAATAATAATATTCTTGGTTGTAGGCTTTTCAAAGAAATTAGTAGAAGAATAATTCACACTAATTGATTTAAATTACGAATACTTATTCTAATAAAATCATGGATATATCATATAAGTAAAAAAATTAAGCTATTAAGTTAATTAGTTTGAAATTATTCAGTTTCCACTAAACAAAAATTATTTCCCTACTATTGAAATAGTTGATTAAAATAAAACAATTTAAACTTCAAGTTACGAGTCTTATGCTTAAAAATAACATATTCGTAAATTGTGGTTAAGTTAAAGGGATACAAATCAAAACCTTACTATACATATTTTTTCTAAGATGGAGAATGTTTATAAGAATATTAATGAAACTGAAACAAAA